GTAGGCCCATGAAGGCGCGCGGGCCGTCGGCAATAGTGTCCGGTAGTCTCAAGATGGGTTGGAGACCTCTTTTCTACTCAGCATAAAGTCTTGCTGCTCTTCACCTCAAATCAGAAATTTCACTTCAAACGAGCAGACTGTAAAATTAGGAGCCGAGAATCACATTTACTCGTCCATTCCCAGTGCGTTCTTACGCTTCTAAATGACATAATTAATATCCCCAAAACTTTTTTCTACCGACTATGTTGGAGTGTGGCACAACCCTAAAGCGATTTGAGCCTGGTTCGTCTTGCTCTCTCTAACTCTAAGATAAGTTAACAAACACTGAAAGCGCAACCACTTAGAACAAGAAATAGGGTATACGAGACATCGGCTTGGCTTCAAGCAAATGTGACCATTCAGCTGGATGGCGCTCGGTATTTGCAAAACCAAAATCTGCTACAACAATTTTCAAGGTGTCTTATGATATGCTATAAGATGGAAATCATCACGCTTGATACCTTAATGTAGCCAACGGGATTTCAAAGGAGTCTTATTGAAACACAGCATAGAATGTCGTATCTGGCGCTCGTGTGCATAATTCTTCGATCCTGTCCGTAATCCTAGGCAGGAAACGCTAGGGCCCATTACACAGGAGCAGCATCTTGGCAGGATTGCAGTATGACAATGATCAATCTAATTTGAGCTGAGAAGTGAATTGAAAATTGGGCGCTATTCGACTCAACTCTTTTTGCATTCTGCGGCGTTTTCAATGAGTTATAATAGGTGCACGGCAGTGGCCGCCCAGGATTTCCGTCCTGGGGAGCGTGCGCCAAAATTTTTTTCGAGTAAAGGTGCGTGGCTTTAGCCAACTCCGATAAGTTTTTTTGGATGCTTCCCAGAATTTATGTGGACCCATGACCTCAAAATATTAGAAAAAGAGTGCGTTGCATCAGCCACGCCCCCGAATAATTTTTTACAAGGCTAACTTGAGTTTTTGAAAAATTTCAGAGAGTGCAATTATGCAGAAGTTCAAACAAGTAGCTTGCACATATTTTTAACCTATGTAAGTAACTACCTCTCAAAAATTTCGCGCCCCATTCTCGGGGTAAGGCCCCCGCCCTTCTCCCATGGACCGCTACTGGTGCACGGTATATGAGATAAAACCACGAATTCGCTCTAAGCTTCGCTTAGGAAGGTTTTTTAGCCCACTAAACAGGACATCATGCTGATTTCTCGAGATAATGCCAATTTCTTAGTTACGGTGTGAGTGCACGTAGGTGGTCAAAGTTCTGAATTTGCTCAAACTTTGCCCAGAGGGATTCTCAAGCATGCTGATTACGAATATCATGCTTACTCGCTGCGATGACGCTTTATCGTGGAGTTAATGTAATCCGCAGCCTATGGATTGGACATTTTTTCGCATTTCCGGCCAACGTGGCCCACTGATTTTCACGGAAGGGCTTTCCATGCGGAATGAGCAACATTTCGTGACAGAAAGTCAGATAACTCCCCTGCGCAAAGTTTCAAGCAGATCTAGGATTCTGCCTTATACCATGTACTTTGTAATTCGCAAAAGGGTCCTAAAAAGGCAAAGAGAGTATGATATTCGTGCTCAACATGCAAAACAAGGCCTCTAGAACGAATCACAGCCAGATTTGAGATTTTGTCTTCCACCGTAAACCTACCACAATTTCATGAAAAGGCCTCAATTGCAGAAAGAGTATGTTATTAATGATCAGCATGTCAAATATCCCTTCTAGGCCAAGCTTCAGCCAAATCCGTAACTTTCAGTTTTTGGGACCCTTTGAGCGGAGTAGTAGCGAAAATTGTTACACAGGAATATCTAGAGGATACATGGAAGATGAGACAAAATTAATCGGTGTTTCTAGAACTTGGATGTGTTGAAGCGACTTTTACAGGCACCATCCTTGCCAAGAACTTGATTTCTGGACGATTGGCTGCTAAGCGAAATGGAGAGTTTCCCGCAATGAAGCGGCTACTGATTGACAAAGACCGCTTGTTCTGGTTGCGCGAAAAGTGTGGAGACACCCCGCTAGATGAAATGTGTTTCTATTCTGAGGATACTCAGAAGGATGGTAGTGAAACACGCTTCAGCAGGTTTCAAATTGGGCTTATTCATCTACTCAAGAAGTTAATATCCTGATACAGATACCTCTATTCCGGTAAAATAGTGGACTTTGGGATACTCAGTGACTCTACGTTACCACCTACACTGAGCCCACCTGAGAAAATTGGACTGATTATAAGCGATACAAGAGCCAAAGTCAGCTGGATCCCTCCACCAAATCTACCGTTCCAAGGTTAGCAGATCTTCCAGTATACTTACTACGTGGCTGCATGTTACAGCTCCCAATAATGACTGGAGAAACATCTCGTATGAGGTTCGTCTCGTAACTCAAGACACGCCCAACACTCCAGTAGCCGTGAAAATAAGTAATGACACATCTGTGGTGAGAGATTCACAAGTTCCTAACAGCCGCAAACAAATAAAGCATTTTAGACTATGGCGGTGATGCCTGGCGCAGAATATACTGCATCTGTTCGGGTATGCTGGAAATCTGTATGCTCTTCTTTTGTGAATGTAATCAACTCTGCCTTCCTATCCTTCAAATGTAAGTTGC